AGTACATAATAGAGATGTTCCTATACATATAGATCTCAATTATGTACTTGATATATATATAATAAATATATATATATATTTAGGCTTATTCTGGAATTGGCTATTCTATTTTGGTTTAGAAATTTTTTCTAATATGGTATTCTTGATATATATATATATATATATATCAAGAGTACCATAATAGAAAAATTTGCTCACTGCCCTAAAGCCTATAGGACACACTGTGCGATTTTCTACGCTGGCCGCTTGCGATCGATAAATACGGTGCCGGGGTCCGCCGGTGTGCTTGTCTCACGGCAGCGTATTCGCACGCGATCCCATACGCCCGGCTGATCGCTCGCATTCACATGTTGAATATTTCCGCACGGTTTTTCATCGCTTGCGTATAGCGCATGCGCTTGCATACACTTGCGCCAGCGCGCCCAACAATGAATCATCGTGTTCGAACGCGCATTGTTTTTAGGCAGGCCAATCAAGTGTAGCAACGAAAGCTAGGAAAGCCGTTGGAAGCCGTAGGAAGTGGTTGGACACCGTACAGTGTGTCCAGCTGTACGCGCAACTTTAGAGTATCTATTAGAGTATCTATTATCTACTCCTGATGATATAGTATTTGTATTGTGTCCTAATACCTGCTATTTTCTTTGTATTAGAGGGGCAACAACATCCCACATCGTCATAACAAATGAAGGAGGAGAAATTCTATCCAGGTCAGATGGACCAAGCACAAATCACTGGGTAGGTGCAATTCGTTAATTATAATATTACATTTGTAATGCATGGCATTACAAAATAAACATTCACCAGGTCTAAAAGGACAGGATCAGTGTATTCACAGATTAAATGGGTATAATAAATTCACCGCCTACAATTTTAATAAAAAAAATTCACACAATACTATATGTTCCACAAAAAGATAGTAGATGTAGTATACTTACAAAGTTCCACAGTTTCAGTTCCACAAAAGATGTAGTATGGTAACCAAACTGCACCTCATCCACTTTAATTCTTTTTGGACACTCACTTCCAATTTGAACTATGCAGGAGTAATTTAACCTTCGTCTTTTACCACGCTTACTTTTTATCAGGAGGTTGATTATGATTGCTTCTGTTTCTCTGCCTGCACCAATATGAACAAAGCAGCCACATACAACAGATCAAAAGCATTTTTTATTTATTAATTTAGAAGGAGAAGAATTGCAATAACCTGTATTTCACTACATAATTTTCAGTTAGATTATGCACATACTTATTCTAAATAGAAAATCTTGCAGGTAAACAGTAGTTAAGAATAAATATAGGTACACATTTGTGATTAGCTCCTGATATGAAACATGCAGCATAAAAATTCAATGGTGCAACTTTGGCAGCGGTGGCAACACGGTCATATAGTGTCGTAGCAGTACCCAAACATATTTATTAAAAAAAATCTTAATTATCAAAAATGAATATCAGATAAGAGAAATATGTGGTTGTATATTGTTTATTATGCAATAAGTATCACTCAATTTCTAGAATAATGTTCAATTTTAAGATAGGTTGTGTACTTTTTAGATGGTTGGAGTGGATGAATGCCAAGCAAGGATAATGAAGATGATTCAGGATGCAAAGCAGAAAGCAGGGATCAATTTGGATATCCCATTAACATCAGTGGTAAACATAAACAACTGAATATGTCTTGTTTTGTACAAATGATTTTACACCTGATCACACAATACTATTGTCAGGATTCCAGATCAGAGAAATCACCACATTTATGTATGCATTGCCTACTTAATGCAGGTAGTAAATTGTGAATAAAATGCTATCTAAATTTATTAATTATTTTTAAATGTCTTAAAACTGCTATACTGTTGTTTAATAAATAATATTTATGAAATGTACATAGGGTCATGATATAAATTACTATGCATTGTTATTACATGTGCAGCGGCCATATTCTTTGGTTAAAGATGCTTTCACACTGAACCCATGGAATCAAAATCTGATGAAATGTAGTAATTTTAAGATTGTGTATTTTTATATACATATATGGGATTTGCTTTTTGTAGGGATTGTCACTTAGTGGAGGAGAGAAAGATATGGATGTTATTATTGATAATCTACATAAAAAAGACCAACACCTCAGCAAATCCTATCACATTTACAATGACACTCAGGGTTCCATCTTCTCTGCATCTAACAAAGGTATCTAGGTGTTACCTGAATTAGCCTATGTTTTACCAGAAATTATACTATAACTACACGTCCAAGAGTTTGCATTTGTAGTAAAGTAACTGGTCATTTATTAACCAGTCAGTGATGGGTAGTTAGTAGCGAAATGTGTGTAGTAGGGGAGGCGGAAAGGAAAAGAAAGAGAGGAAAGATGGTAGAGCAAAAAACGTGAGAAAGGGTGGTTCCAGTGAGGTAGAAGGATAGTAGCAAATTGCTGTCATCCCTGTATTAGTAGTCGACACTGTAGAACAGAAGACTGTTCGTATCGGCCAAAGAAAATTCCCATGCTGAAAAATGTTCCTTCCCCATCGGCTTTCAACTTCAGTCACACTTTATACAATCTCAGGATACACATGTTTCTGCTTATTTTATATTATAATTTTCTGTTAATATTAATTTTTCAGGTGGAATGGTGATGATAGCAGGAACAGGGACCAATTGCCGAGTGGTTAATCCAGATGGCAGCACATACAATTGCGGAGGCTGGGGTCATTTGCTTGGAGATGAGGCTGGTGGTATGTACACGCAGTGGTATTCTAGTGATTAATGAAGAGGTTTTCAATTTTTCTCTTCATTTGAATTGGAGATGTAACACCCTCTTTCCATGAATCCTGGGGCTCGTTTCACGAAGCTATCGTAAAAACACCATCTTAAGGATATCCTTAGAATTCTTGTACGAGAGCCTAACGCTGTTCTAAACGTCCCTCTTTAAAGTGTTTCACAAAACTTATGCCGGTGCGTTGTTAGACGGTCCTTAAAATTCAGCTGTAACGATGTTGTTGGCGGCATAGACTAGTACCCTATCTCTACACCTTGCTACTAGATAGTCTATATATAGAGACATAACAAGACGTAACAAGTCTAATGGCGACCCAGCTCATTGTGAGTTGCTACACTAATCTCTCGCGTCATTTAGTTTTAATAAATGTACGTACAACAGCATGCAAACTAAAAATAATAGGTTAAAAGTATTTTTAAATGCCAAGTACCTGAGAAATAATTAAACTAAAGCAAGGTTGTCATATTTCCTGCAACTAGAACTACCACAAATGACGTATTGACTATTGACTGAACAAAAATGTAACATAAATGCTGAAGGTTTAGAGTTACGTTTACTTTGATACAGTATTGGCGCCATAGGATACAGTAATTACATACACGAACAGCCGAAGCACATGTAAGGTGCAAGGAAGCATTTCATCTCTTCAAAATCTGCTACCACAATAAGAAGCTTCTTAGCCACACTTAACCCCTGCGCGTCATGCCTTCACAGGCCTTGCACAGTATTCTCGTAGACACAGAGAAGTTACCTTCTCGGCGGGTTTTTGCTTTACACTACTGCTTGCCATAACAATGAAAACACGCGGGAAATCTCGTGTTGCTTGCTGTACGATAGCCTAAGACTGCCCTAAGTACTGCCCCTGACCTGTCCTTAAGATTCCTCCTTAATAGCAACGTCGTTGAGTTAGCGAGACGTTTGTGAAACGTGGAAACTTAGCGAAGCTTTTGTGAAACACTATATATAAGGATATCCTAAAACCCCTCTTTAACCCATCACTAACTTAACGAGCGCTTCGTGAAACGGCTCCCTGGCTTGTTCATTCTAACACTTTTAATGCCTGTCTGTGTTTCTATGTCAATGAAAAATGTTTGAAAGCAAGTACACTAACCATTATATCATAATATTAATGTCATATATAATGGAGAGGTTATATTTATTTCACATATTTTTGCATTGATTCTGGTAATATCTCTTGGTTTAAAGCTTACTGGATCAGCAATCGTGCTATCAAGTACGTGTTTGATGCAGATGACAACTTAGAACATCCACCGGCAGATGTCAGCACTGTGAGAAAGCTCATGCTTTCGCACTACAAAGTAAGGCTCATAGGGTCTATATGTCCCCCAGGGTACTGCCGGAACGTACCCTGGGTACGGTCCGGTATACCGGAGCGTACTCTGGTCACTATTTGATATAGTTAGGGTTAGGATTAGGGTTAGGGAGTAGACGTACGCGACTCCCTAGACTCGTTAGTGGAGTAGGCGAGATACGGTCCGGCATATTAGATAGTACCAGGGTACGTCCCGGTATACCGGACCGTACCTAGGGTACGTTCCGGCAGTACCCCGGGGGACATATACCCTCTCAGCCAAAGTAAGGATTTGTTGAACTTAATACCTATGACTGCTATGTATCGATACCCAGTAAGCTAAGGTCTCTTGTTTTGCTATTTTTCAAAAGCATGTTGATTAAACTTTTTAATGAGATGACGTGTGCATGAATACACACATTACATATATACATTTTATGCTTATACTCTAAGTGGGAAACCAGGTCAGATGCTGTCTTGTAACCCCAAGTGCTTTAGGTAGGTGTACTTTATTAGTAAAATTAATATGTGGGTATACATTCATACATACATACATATCATTAGAGTATTTTTTGTGATGAATCAATTTATTTAACCTGTGAACAACAATTTTGACAACCGATCTAGGTGGCTGTCAAACGGAATGAATTGGGCTTGGCACCAGATGGCAGCAGGCGACAAGAGCGGGAAATAGAGCCGGCTTGTGTAGGCAGTGGTCTAGCTATATTATAATCATTGTATCCCCCAAGGAGTTTGTGGGGATACTATGGGTTTGGCATTGTCGCTCCGCTGCCGCCGCAGAGATTTCCTTGTGAAGGCTCTACCGGCTGCAGTTCTTCTCGGATCATCTTCAAATTTTGCATGAAGGTGCGTTATCGTAAAGCGAAGACGCCAATCGTTTTTGGTGTGGGCGGAGTCATCGTTGCCATGGTAACAACATTTTTTGTCAAAATATTCTAGAACCTGTAACTTCTGCACTTTTTACTCGATTGTCATGAAATTTATATTTGTATTAAAACTTATATTTTACAATGTTATATTAATATTTAAATTTAAAAATTTAATTTTAAAATTTAAATGTTAAAATTTAAATTTAATATGTGTATTTAAATTTGGTATTTAAAATTTATATTTAAGATTTATGTTGTCATCAATGTATACGTAGTATTATAGTTACTTTATAGCGAGCATGTTCATATCGGGCCCTGGTGGGCAAATTCATGGACATTCTGGGGTTTAAAAACAGCAAAAGGCTTACAGGTTCTACAATATTTCCACAAAAAATGTGTCTGTAACCATGCGCAACGATGACTCCACCCACGCCAAACGGATTGGCGTACTTTCGCTTTTAGTTTGAGATGAAGGGATGAGATTTGTAAGGATTCATCGGGGATCGGGGTAAAAACTGCGCCACAGGTCACTGCTGACCTTGTATTTCACCCTTTACGCTATGTACCTTGATCACTACCCTCTCTCCGACTCTCTAAACTCAGCGCCTAATTGACCTTAGCGCGACAAAACTCGGTTATGCTTACCATCTTTGAGGGAGACAGGTCTGTCGCCCATACCAAAACACCACACTGCCCTGTAGGCCTTAGTTTGGACCTTCACGGTCGACTATACATTTCCTCTTCGGCCTCCTAGGGTAACAGATTCCATATACTTTGCCACACTATGTAGGGCCCACACCAGTTGTTAACAAACCTTTGTCTTGTTGTGAATTTTATTTAACTTTACCTGCCTTCTTAGTCCTTACAGAGATATTCCTCATACTAGATCACGCGGGGCGATTACATGTAGTGGTTGACACTGTCGTTTCTAGTTGATATTAACTAGAATGATCAGTCACGGTGCTAGGTAAGCAGTTGTCCAGTACTGTCCATCTGATACAAACTGAAGCAACTCCATGTCAGCTTGTAAGGGCTCACAATGCCGCTCTAAACGCTATGTTCTTCACGTAGTAAACTAAGGCAAATACTAAACTTATGACAAAAATAAACTTAGATTCCACCATTCCACTGCGCGTTTGCTTTAAAACCACAGAAAGAGCGTGAGAAACTGGTCATGTTTTCTGGCGCAAACGCTAAATTGGTTTGAAACAACTTAGCCTCACATGTGACTACAGCGGTCTGTGAGCAAGGAGATTGTTCTGTGCCGGGTCTCATTATTATTGTAGTCGGCTTGTACATGTTAAGATAGTTGTAGTTACTTGTGAACTGCCCCTGTATATGTACATCAGACTAATTAAGAAAGTATTTATACGGCAGCGTAATGATGTAGGTGAATAACGTATTGATTTTAGGCTTGATGTCGCTGAACAGCGGGGGCGCATTGCGGGGTAGCAAGCCGTGCAAGTGCGAAAAACGACACTGGCCGTAGAAATCTTGTTGGCTTTACACCCGCTGGACGGTTGTCCTGGCCGAGTAGCATGCAAACGGGACGCCGTGTAACAAACATACGGAATCTTGAACAAACAGTGGAGATTTTTCAAATACCTTTTTTATAAAGTCAACGCGCAGTTGAAATGGGCAAGCCACTAGAGTTTATTTTGTCATAAACGGTAGTGTGATTATTCATGCACGAAGTATTGCTAGTCTAGCTAACTTGTAGGAATTAGGTTTGGATGCGCATTGGTGTGAGGCTTTAGGACATTGATTGGTCGTTCAAAACTGTTGCTCACAGAAGAGTCATCAAATTGGTTTATTAAAAATAATATATAATGCCTCTCATATATTTATATAATAATATTACATTTCAGTTACGTGTACAAAGACAAGACCTACTGGACCATCTGTATAGAAAGATTGACAAACCAAAGCTTGCCTCATTTTGCAAGGGGAAATTTTTTGCCAAAGGTTTGCTACCTGTTTTATTTTTGGTTTTACCACATGCTCAGTAATTACTATGCATTACAAAAGTAATGTGTTCCTGAAGAATCCTTCGTATGCATAATTGCCTAATGCTCGCAATTCTTGCTTTTCCATCGACATTATTAATTTGGAGATAATTCCTAGGAATGTTTTTGCCCAAAAGAAGTAGGTAATCCACCAATTCTCCCCTAAAAGCACCATTATTAACACTAGCTAAGCGCAGATGAATATATGCACGACACATGCACAACACACACGTGACAATGCACATGCACGCACAGCGCATGCACGCACGGCACATGACACACGATGGCATGCATGCACGGCGGGGTATTTGCCAGCACACGCATCGCACATGACACACACTTGCATGCCATGCATGACACCCGACGCACAGCACACTGTACATTAGACCGCCGGCTTTGTGAGCCAGCAAACACTGTTGTTTTATATTTTGTGCCTCCATCCGGCATCTACATGCAACATTTTACACAAAGATAGCCAGAAAAAAATATACTAAAAAACGATTTCACAACTGTCAGTGGGAAAAGTGCACACTATCTTAGTTTATTTCCAATAAAATTACATTAATTGTGATCTACGCCACCATTCTGGTGGTTGTAAATCTAAATCTAAACATTCTGTGTGTTATCCTATGGGAAATTGCTCTTGTTGAAAGCTAATCGCCCTTCATTAAAACTCAAGACTCACAGAGATCATAGCTAAGACATGCGTCTATAATACTAGGAATTTAGCAATGTAACTCAAAAAAAATTGTTTTTTTTTTTCCGTTTGCGCCGTATGCATGTTAGTAGTAATGTACACTTTGCTACGGCCATTGGAGCCACGGATATTACTGTAGAGCGATACGCGCTGATGCATATTTGCTAATTTAATTAGCGTAATCGCGCATTCAAGTAGACTTCAAAATTCACAGAATTTTAAGGCTGAGACATGTGTTCTTATAATTACTAGAATTATAGCAAATGTTACTCAAATCGTGAATATGAGCACCATATGATAGTTAGTTAGTACACTTTCCTAGCGGTCGATCATAGCATGCATATGCGGTAGGGTATGTAAAAATGAAAATAATCACAAATATAATAATTTTTTTATTGCATAAAATAGAACATTAAATTAAAAATAACAAGATATATATTTCTGTTAGTTTGACAAAAAATATTACAGGTTCGAAATGTTTGGAGCCCCCATTTTGAAAATGACATTTGCCTAACATTGTAGGCACGAGTCTGGTGATCCAGATTACTAGTAATGCGATTAGCTCTTAATCGGATTGGAAGCAAGCGATGACAAAAACAGTGACAGTAATCACAAAATCTATTTTGGGAAAAACATGCCTACAAAAATGTCTCTCTTCAAAAAACTTATTATGCTGGTACAAGAGATATATGTATTAGCAACACCTGCCAATGCCTAGTTATATGCCACAAATTAATCAGTATATTTAAATTACAGAATGGAGTACAGTGGGTACATAGGTACAAATGACGCGTGTAGCAGTCTAGGGTGGTGAGCCTGGGGTTGACCATGGCGATGCCTTCTGCCTTTTAGTAGTAAAAAAAATTAAATTCAACATTAGTTTATTTCATGTCTTTCACAAATTTGTGCTATTCATGAGACACCCGAACGCCATGATAATCTGTAATTTTGTGAACTAAACGTACCATAAACGGGTATGTGTTATGTTAGCAGTTAGCCGCTCTAGGCAGTCAAGGCCAAATTGAAGAAAAAAGTTCTTCTTTTTTTACACTTTGTCGGTGGAATAGAAAATATAGCTGAGTTGGCCAGGGAGGTATTTGGATCTGATTTATGCAATCATGCATGTTCATCGGGTATTGAGATTACTTTACTAGCCCTCGAAATGGGTTCATAGTATAATATATATATAATAATAAGGGGTTTAGTTACGGGTTATCCCTTTCCCTTGCAACTCTATACCTAGCACCAAGCTCCTCAGCCTGTATGGACTTCAGCAACTGCATGCCTTCTCCTTGGCGAAATCGAAGTAGGTACCAGTAGGCTAGTCAGTAGGCTGGCAATTTTGTTCTCACTCCCAATGATTCGAATCACGGTCTTCCAGAGATGTAACACACTCTCTAAACTTCTTAAAACTCTTCTGACTAAAGAGTTTTACTTCTAATTCATACTTTACTTCGTGGCGTAGACACAAAGTGCATAACATACACAAAAACTGACAGATATTTCTTCTGAAGTAATCAGAGAAAATAATCGTGTCGCAGACGCGTCGCAGCCACTAGCTCGCAGCGCTCGGCATAGATGTTGAACAATGCGTGTGATAGGCTAATAATCTTGTGCACTGCAATTTTTACTAAGAGAGATGCCAGTGACGTGTGACGATATTTGGTGGGGATGAAAAGATATTGTTCTGAGTGGTTTTTATCGTTTTTTTGAGCTCTTGGTGGTGCAGTTTTACTGATTGACGAAGTTAATCAATATCACACTTGGAAATATATTAGTAAACTTTTTCCACTACTTTAAGATGTAGAGTGTCAGGAGGGGTCACAAAAGTATACGAATTTTTGGCCCCTCACACCCGACGGACTACATGGCAGTATGTAATTTTGGATCGCATTTTTACCCAAAAGACCGTAAACATTAAAATTCTGTCTAAAATATGGTTGTATAATATTCTTACAAAACTCGCTATAAACTGCAAATTTTAATATAAGCCTAATTAACTAACTGAATGAACGCTCATGAATTAAAATCTATGGCCTATTTATTAAGGCTTTGCAATGATCTTACTTCAACTCGTATGGCATGCAGTTCTTTTCAGTGCTGAAATAAAAATGTTAATTAAAGGGCTTCCACATGTGTTTGAGAGGCTTTCTTTGTTCGCATTTTTAACTAGTCGTTCAGTAAATAATTGTTGGTGAAATGTTGTGCTGATACTGTTACCTGATTATCTCATAATGTATAAAAAATTTCCAGCTGCCACAACGAACAGGTGACATGCCTCCTGTCGCGCACGTGGTTCAGTGAAGCAGGAAGGATGATTGCGAAGCATATATGTGCCCTGAGCCAACACCCCAACAAGGTAGGTGGTTTAAGCTAAGTTGACATTCGCTGACATATGTTTACCTATGCAAATCTTTATGGCAAGTCGAGTAAGGGTGGCGTTTGGTATCTGCAGGAAAAGGGTTTGTCACACATATTTTATATGCTAACGTTGTTAGTACTTGCTTGGCACTTAATTGAATGCCACATGGGGAAATAATGTGCAGAAGTAAAAAGAATGAAAGTATTGATGGCATGTATTCATTGCGAGTGCCAGCAGAGTAATGAGAATTTTTTAAATGAAGTGGAAAAAACCAGATCATGCCTCACTCAACATTGCTCTAGGCAATGGTTTCAATTATTATACGTCTGCGGTTAAATAACGGGATGGCGCCACGGGAGTTGGAATCAGTTTGATGCTCTTTAAGATATCAGATTGCTCCACACAACATTGTTTTTAATGTCTGGACCTGTTATGTGGTCTGTCACCAAACATGTAGTTTATGACACAAGCGTATGTCTCGTTAGGTACTGAACTGTTTTGCCTAAGACGTTATTCATTTATAATGAAGTCTCTTTCGAAGAACACAATGCCGCGATACCGTTAGATGTAATGCAACTCGTTTATGTCCACCATATGTCCAGCACCCCGAGTCCAACGCATACTCGTGGCGCACCTCTTGGTGCCTATGATCAACATCCATAACATCTCCTGTCCTTTAGTTAACAATACCATTTTCAGCCAAAATGTTAGAAAAACATACATCTGCGCAGAACTATACGTCTGTGTCACGCTCAACTAGAATTCTGTAACATTTCAAACACTACAGTAACATCCATGTAGGTCAGTGATGAACTGGCTCTAATCTAACAACCTCTGAACATACATTTTTAGTATACATGTGCAACACTTCCGTATAATCATATCTTCCTTTCTAAATTCAAACTTGATCAATAAATGTCTAGACTGCGTTTCTTAACTACTCTTCCCTCTGATCGAGTCGTTAATTCGGGACAGGCCTAGTAGCTGCCAGAAGACGTTTTCTCTTCCTCTATCCGCAGCGGTCCGTGGGGCAGGAGTTGGACGCAATATCTGCGTCGTGTAATCTTCTGACGTGCCAGTCTCAGGTACATCATTCGGCGGTTGGCACTCAGTCTTCAAGCTTTGTCACATCTGGTTGATTGACGAGCGGTGTAATCTTTTCGTGGATTGAATTTCCCTATTTCTCCTGTAGACACCCTTTTCAGTCTGCCACTAAGTAAGGCGACCGGGTCCTCTTTTCCCAAAATGCCACGATCCCTTACTCGAGGGCTGTTGCGGGTTAGGTGGTTGCAAACTCTGCGATTCCTTTCATCCTACTTCTAGCTCTGGAAGCGGTTTGCCTGTCTTGTCATAGTAAAGGTTGCTCGCTGTCTCTCCCTCTTTATCTCATCTTCCACACCATCACACAGTAGGTCGTCAAGTAACCACTTCAGCAGTGGGCCATCAGTGTTCTCGTAGCGACGTGACATCATGTTTCTTGGGCTTGTTCTGTCACTCGGTCTGGCGTGTTTTCGCCATTCTAGTAAGCCATCTGAATATTCAATATTCGTCTCGTACTCCTTCTTCATGACTAGCTTTTTTTGCGATCTTCACTGGACTCTTGCTTGACCATTGCCTGACTGTTGTAGAGGTGAAGCTGGTTATATTGTGACAATTTGCCAAACTTGTTGAATTCTGGAAATTCCTGACTGGTGTATGAGCGTCCATTGTCCTGTTTACCATATCTGCTGATTTTCCATGTCTGGCAGTGAACTGTGGTTGCCTCTGCAGCCTGGACTGGGATGTCAGTCGTGTAATCACTTAAGAATCTACCGTCACAAGTAACTTTTCTCCGCTTGAGTTGAAAACAGCATTTGTCCAATTTTGACCATGGTAGTTTAGGAATCTCGTGCGTCATTAG